TGTCTATGTGGTGCTACCACAAATTAGTATTTACAAAATTATCTTTTCCTTTTCATGAAAAATTATGATTTTTATGAAAAATTGCGACTGTAATGAAGAATTGTGATTTTTATGAAGAGTTGTGACTTTAACGAAAAGTTGTAATTTTGATGAAAAATTACGACGTTTATGAAAAGTTATAATTTTTATGAACGGTTTTGACCTTTCCGAGTGTTGCGACTTTTTCGAAAAATTGCAACTTTGTTAAATAAGTGTAACCTTTCTATAAGACTCAACAAACAATTGTTCACACTACCGTTTGTTTTTTATAAGTAGAGGGATTTCCTTTCATTTTAAAACAACAAAAATTCTGAAGCTCTTCTTCTTCTTTGTCTTCTTCACATTTAAATAGTTGTGTACTTTGGTCCTGTTGAATGGCTCAACGACACCATTGGTTATGTTAGAGATCCTGATAAATATTTTTACAGTAATTTGTTTATGTTCATGTTATAAAGGATCAATGATAATATGTTTCATTTTCCTTTACATTATTAATATTCGTTAGTATGTAATCTTGTATATAACATAATATAGTGTTTTAGTCTTAGTGAATGACAAATTTTAATATTATTTTATAAATATCATGATATTAAATTCCCGCGCAGAACACGGGTAATTTTACTAGTAATTTATATAATTTTACTAAATAACAAATACTAATAACAACGAGATAAAAATAAGAATATTACGAAAGCATGAAGTTCCAGATGGCGTAGGAGTGAGTCGAAACTTCACAGATCCCTTTGGAAATTCGAACAACTGTGTCAGTAAAACTCTGCATTTCCCCAAAAAGGTTACAACAATGGCGAACTTTCTTTGGGTTTTCATCTTCGTGGCTTTGGGGATCTGTTCCGAGCTTCTTTTCGCTGAAAAGTCAGTAAAGTTGTCCCAATTTCCCTGTATTTTATTATCTTTGATTTCTATTGCTCTTTTAAGTAATTGGTTCCTTAATACTCTATAGTAATCGCTATGTTGTTCATGATATTTGAATTCAAAACATATCTTGATCTGGGTTCATTATGTGATGTAGTTTTTATATGGGTATTCATAGTTTTTAAGGTTACTTAGCAGTACGATTGAAATAATCATAAAAGTCTTCATAAGTGAGTAATCAATTTGTTTGTTTGGTTTTGAGAAAGTAAAGAAATACTTTTTGAATCTTGTAAAAGGGGTGTGTTTGTTGCCAATCTGCATTTGAAAAACAGAATTACCGAAACTTTGCACGACGGCACGAGGGTTTCTATCTTTCCAACCCTTTTAACCATTACAATTAATAATAGGAGTCGTATTTTTCTTTCCATGGCTGATGAGTAACAAATGCCCTTTCATTAAAGCATAAAATGACTTTTCAAAGTTCCCAACTCTTCAAGTTCTCAACTTTTCAAGTTCCTCTATTTTCCATCTATTTTTGCTATATACCCAACAGTGTTTGCTACGAAGGAAAATGTTTTCCTTGAAGTCAAGTGTGTTTCTCACTTATTTTCTTTGTTTGGTAATTAAAAAGAAAATATTATACTAAGAGCATTTATATGTTATCTAGCAAACTTTATGGAGGTGGAATGGGGGGATTCGGAGGTGGCAAGGGTGGAATGGTCAAGGGTTGGGGGAATTGGGTGGGTGGGGAGGAGACAATACACTTGAAATGTCACTTATGAACTTGTTTTCCTACTTCCATTAGGAAAGTCATTTTTCTCATTTCGAAGAACTTCTTTTCCTAGAGGAAATGTTCTCCAAACCTTTTGAGTTTTGACCAACCAAACAGGAAGATTGGAAAACATGTACCAAAATACCCTTTAAATTTTGTGGTTTTAAACATGTTCATGTGGAAAGCTAAATTAAGAGTTGCCAAAAAAAGAAAAAAAACATTTCTTTTTGAAATGAACAAAAAAGAAAAGTAAGACAAAGAAATTTAAACTGAGAGTAGTATAAAGTGCCCTTTTCTGTTCTTTCCCCCCTAAAAGTTTCCGTCTTTTGAGCTTAGAAGTTGGCAGCTTCTATGAGTGTGTCAAAAATATTTTTTAATATTGGGAGTTCGGAAAAGAAACTGATTTATCTTGTTGGGTTGTGGTTTTCAAGAGAGACATTTTTCGACTGTACTGTAGAAGATATACTACTCAACTAGTTATAAGCTGCAAATTATTAAATGTAAGAAGATCAATGATAACCATTAATTTTGGAGTGATTTTTATAAATGGTGCTTGACATGATTACAACAATTTGTTTCAGAGGCCGAAAAGAATTGAGGGCTGAGGAGGTGAATGGGGATGCCATTATACAGTCGGGCCATCCTGTACGCTCTAATAGATTTGATCCCTCACGCGTCGTTCAACTCTCGTGGCGACCAAGGTCAGGTAGTCTATTCAATCATTAACCTTGTTACTTCTTCAATATGTGGTGGCATGTGAAGAAATTTTAAAAACGCAAAATTCTGCATTTAAGTAAGTTTACCCAAAAAGAGAAGAAGAAAAGTTTTCTTTGTTATGTTGGTGTTTTGAAGGCATGCTTGTTTGGCTTCCTGGTTAATAATTCTCTGTATGGACTATGGAGGAATAATGAATATTTTTTCTTGAAATAGGGTTTTCTTGTATAGAGACTTTATGTCAGCAGAAGAGACTGATCACTTAATCTCTTCGGTAAATCAATGCCTCACAACTTGTACTGCTATACTTTTTCTCTAGAAAGTTTCTAAAATGTGTCTTCGCATGAATCCATTTATAGGTGCATGGAATGAGAAATGGCTCCACAATTGATAATGCTTCTGTGGATGCAGTGAATTTTCCAACTATGGGTATTCCTGTAGATGCAAAGGTAAGTTCTTGTTATCTACACGGTTCTTTATATGAGCTAATGCTTTTTCAAAGCATAGATGTGACTAAGCATTTGTATTATTTAGATAGTGTTTAGTCTTGTAAATTGAAGATATTAGTAATTATGCATTAGGGTTCTATAAACTCTGCTTACCATGAAAATGGAATATTAGTAATTATGCATTAGGGTTCTATAAACTCTGCTTACCATGCGAATGGACTCCAGATATTAGTAATGATGCATTAGGGTGCTATAAACTCTGCTTATGCTTCCCATGAGAATGGTCTCCATGCTCACTGAATTTGCTGGTTGAGAAAGCAGTTTATGTTAATAAAACACAGTACTCAGTACTTGTAACATGTTTCTTTGTATTGTTCTTTAAATTCTAGGATCCTACTAATGTTACCTTTATCAAAAAATTCTAGGATCCTACTTCCTCAAGGATCGAAGAAAGGATCTCAGCTTGGACCTTTCTGCCAAAAGGTAGTTTTCATTGCCAGACATATAAGTTCCATTTGTTTCTTTCTAGGTACCCCTCCCAACTGAAGGTTTTGAGTCTGCCTTTTTCAGTGTTGTATGATTGACCGCTATCATCCTTGCCTTCAGGAAACAGCAAGCCATTGCATGTTCTGCATTCTGGACGTGAGAGTTCAAAGGGGAATTATAGTTATTTTGAGATGAACTCCACACTCAAGTCCAGCGAACCATTAATGGCGACTGTCATTTTGTATCTATCAAATGTGACACAGGGTGGTCAGATCCTCTTCCCTGAGTCAGAGGTAAAATAGAGGTGCTTTGTACTTTAATTTCGTAATGACATCTTTTCTGTTTGTGCTTTTGTTTTAATTTATTTGAACTCCTGATGTAGAATAAGATATTGTCTGACTGTACGAAGAGTAGCGACTCCCTGAGACCAACTAAAGGAAATGCAATTGTGTTCTTCAATGTCCACCTCGATGCATCCCCTGACAGGAGTAGCTCCCATGCAAGATGCCCTGTTATTGATGGTGAAATGTGGTATGCCATCAAATTCTTTTATCTGAGAAGTATAACTGTGCAAAAGGATCCATTACAATCAGATGGTGACACCTATTGTACCGATGAAGATGAGAACTGTACGCGATGGGCTGCTACTGGAGAGTGTGAAAGGAATCCTGTTTTTATGGTTGGTTCTCCTGATTATTATGGTACATGTAGGAAAAGTTGTAATGCTTGTTGATTCTTTATGTAACGATTATATGTACCTTTACTGGCATTGTTTGTGACAAAATCTTCTGATTATTATTTTTTTCTTTCTTTTGCCAACTATATTGGGCAAGTGTAGCATACAAATAGACTTTTGGCTCTTAGCTGCAGAAGACTTGGCCTTTCCCCTGCAATAATCAGTGACATTACTTTTTCTTTTCTTCCAAGAACAGGTCCCTCAGCTGCCAATGAACTGATTAAATAAAGACTCCTATCTGCCAATAAGAGAATTTTGCCTAAATTCTCTTGGTTGACTAATTATATTCCCAAACATTTGATGGTCTGTTAGGTTTTTTCTTCTTCCAGGTTTAGATGCTTCATTTCCAGCTAGGTTGAGAAGGTGTATTTTATTATTTGCTATGTCTTCTCGACTCTTGTATTTTCTTTCTCAAACTGCTTCAATACATGCATGGGTCTTTTGGAACCAACCTCTCTACTTCCGTGAGGTAGAGTTGATCTGACATACATACTGCATATAATCTACCTTCTCCAGACTCTAGCTGTGTGATTTCACTGAATTTGTTGTTGTATTACTAAACCTCATTCAAGAATGTGTCTAGTGACCTCTAGAAGCTGCAAAAGGTCAAACATAACAGAGTTGCCACCAACTAAGTGGAAGCAAACTCATGTGCCGCCAAATTGGGGGAAAAAAAGGATTTATTTTATAATATAACAACTGTCCAAAGAATTTGAACTAGCTGTGTAACTCAACATGTTAAACAAGTTGCTTATTTTATGTTAGAATATGTTGTGCTTGCTATTGCAGATAATTTGATCTAATGGTATAAAATGTACGCAGACCTTACCAATACCTCGAGGAGGTAGAGAAAATGTTTCCTAAAGACCCTCAACTTACGTGCCAATACCTCAAAGGAGATTACATAGTACATAAACTCAAGAATAGAAGTATCTGTATATAGTATTCATAACTAGGACAACAAACAACTTCCATTACCAAAATAGTATAATTGTTTTTAACCTCACTAATACAAAAGAAAATGCTACAAATCAAGTAACCAAGACTACTATTTAGCTGCAAAATGTTTGACAGTGAAACCAACTTTCTCAAACTTGCCTTTCTCATTGCTTTCTCTAAACTTCAAATAATCAGCACAAACAAAAGGTTTATAGACCTTCAAATTTCCCTTCCCCACAATCTCTTGTGGTGCAACAATCAGTTTCTCATCTTCAAAGCACCAAAAGAACGCGATGGAAAATCGACTCACAGGCTCTTTCAAAACAACTCTGTGTTCAGATGACCTCAATTTCCCATTACTCCAAGCCTGCAATAGATCTCCAATATTCACAACAAGTGTGTCTTGGCAAGGATCAATATCCATCCACTTGCCTTCTTTGGATCTCACTTGAAGTCCACCAACTTCATCTTGATATACTATTGTTATGCAGCTCATATCAGTGTGCATCCCTAGCCCTTCAACTTCTTCTTCTTCTTGTACATCGTCAGTGCTTTCGGGTGGAGTATAGCTGTTTACTCTTAGATAGCCATGACAGTTCTTGAATTCCGATGCGAATTTTCGCTCAAATTCAGGACCTAAGCTCATCAGTATGACCTCAACAATGCTTTTGGACACTTCTACCATTTTTCTCCCATATACCTCCATTGCATGACTACAAAGGACAAAAGAAAAAACATTAAAAATGCTGAATTCTTACCAGACTGAGTTAACTCATCTGGTCAAGCAATCTTAAACTAATGTTTATGATGTATGCAAGAAAAGTAGAGTATTTCATCAATAATAAAAACACAAAACAGAAAGTGTTGTGTTAAGTGCATTCAACGGTGTGATTTAGGAGTCAATGAAGCTTGTGAAAACCAAGGTTCAAATCCTAGTAGAGACAAAAAAATCATCTGTCAAAGCTTTGATGGACAGAGTTACCTGTACCTAATGCTTGTTCTACGAGGCAACAAGTACCTAGATGAATAGTCGAGATACATGCAAGTTGGATGTAGTGTTTTAAGGTTTTTGATTTTACCTGAATTCTGGAATTGGCTGGTTGATCAGGGCTTGGGAAGTACTCTGTGCAGAAGCAAAGAAGTCAGGTCCAGACACTCTGAGGCTTTCAAAGAAAGGGGAAGCAATGAAGTGAGGAGTATAGGTTCTTATATTTGATAAAGGTCCAGCATTGAGCTTTACATCACACGGGAGATCGAAAATTTGGTTAGAAAGGAAACGAAGTTGTTTACATAAATCTCTAGGAATTCCATGGTTACTGATGTGAAAAAAGCCCCATTCTTTACAAGCTAAAGAAAGGGACTTGAGGGAATTTGATGAACTCAATGGCCTCGAAATGTCGAAAATGGGAAGTTTTACAGAAGTTTGAGACTTAGACATGCTCAGGAGATAAAGTTAGTTTCTTCTGTTTACTCCTTTCTGTTGTGTTTATGTAGTTATATAGAAGTGCAGCTATATCTTGGAAAGAGTATCCTTTCAGTTAACTATGTATAAACTATTAAGCAATTCGTGCTTGGTTGTATTCATTCTCAACTCACTGACTCTAAAGCTAACGAATTTGTTCCGTTGGGAACAAGTTATCCCTGGATAAGTTATTCCGCCATTGTCGAAAAAATAATATGATAAATAATTCAAAACCAACCAAATGTGAGATTATTATACCTTATACCTCACGCCAAAAGACTCTGCGTCACAAGTGACGCAAAGAAGAATCTCAATTGCTACATTAGGGATGTGGAAAAGACAGATGTGAAAACAAGTAATAAGAAATGAGAACAAATAATTATTGCAGAATATAAGGCATGTAACGTGTACTTGAAAATAATATTTTGCAAGCTACTAGTAAGTATATTACTAATGACATTTTGCAATTTATTAAGGTTTGACAATTTCTGTTTAGTGTTTGCCGACTCTAACCCCCACCCCCACCCCCACCAACCCCATAGCACTCCTTTATTTTTTTTTTTTCATAAAAAATATGGTCAATAAAATTGGAGGATGAATTTAAGACACTGTAGACAATTAGGAGGCAACAAGCACATTTGATGGAAGAGTGCTTGTTATAACAAAAAAATATACGATATTTACGTCGAATTAAATAATTAATCATCATAATTACTATTTAAAAATTCAAAAAATAAGATACATATCACCTATCGATTGTTAATTATGTGCAAATATATTTATTTAATATCAAATATCGAATGTAAATAATTTTTTATCGAATCGGTTTTTTGGTTTTCTTCAATGTCAAGGTTTGACTTGGTTAACTCGTGATTCATGAGTCTGTCGAGCAAACACGACAATTAAGCAAAACACATAATTTATATGCAATCGAGGACATTGACAATTTTTTTTTCTCTCTTCCCATAGACCCCTGATGACATATTTTATATTTCTTTCTCTTTATTCTAAGCAAGGAAAAAGTAGGGCCATTCAAAATCGAATCGAAACCGATAAGCCGAATTGATAAAAAAAGTTATTGGTTTAGTGATTTTGATAACGGTATCGATTTTTTTTTTGTTATTGAGTTATTGGTTCTGAACGATTTAAAGTTTTTTTATTAACAGGTTAACCGATAACCCGATAGTAAATTAAATAATTATATTTATACCATTTTGTATATAAAGTCCTCGACTTATAGTTTAATTTCCTACTTTTATTTTTGATTATCTCAAACACTTGATTATTCTACGATGTAAAAGTGTTTGCTTTTGAGCAAGATGTAACTTGTGAACTCAAGTGCATGGTTTATTTGGTTTGTCACCCTTGTTTCTAAGTGATTTTCAATATTTTTTCTTTTGTGTCAAATCTTAACGGTTAAACCGATAACCGAACCGATAGTGATCAATAACCGATAATCTAACATCTTAATAGTTCTATAACGATTTAACATCTCTATAAACCGATAACTAATAAGTCAACCCAATAGACTTTAAAATCAAATTGAACCGATCGATATATCACCGTGAACATGATAGACTATGGTGAGTAGGGTAATATTTATTTTGAAGGATCAATCTTTATTTTTTTAAATGAAGAAAGATAAATATTAGTAGTATTAAGTAGGCATAAGTATATAGGGCTGGTTGGGCGGTGGTCAGTCTTGACCTAAGGGGTCAGTATTACACAAAAAGTTAAAACTTACACAAGGATCAATTTACTTGTGTTTGAGTTCATTGGATTAAAATTGAAGTTTCTGTATCTTCTAGAAGAAAATTAAGAACATTTTTTTACGGCAACTTCTCAAAGGAACAGAGGCACTTTGACAATGTGCTTTTAAACGACTTTTATAAAGGTAGACGTTGAAAATTTACAAGACTCTGAAAGTTACAAGACGTATTCTATTCTAGTTGGGATTCTATAAAGTGTATTAGATTTCAGTTAGGATTCTTAGAAGTAAATCAACCTTAAATCTTAATTCGTGCTATATAACGTGGTATTATGTTCTCTTAAAAGGCATTTCGAGTATTTCATAAACTCATGAAATATTATCTACTCACTATTCTCTATGTCTCGGTTGTTCAATACATTTCTTTTAGATTATCCAAAAAGAGTAACATCTTTCTATATTTAGAACTAATTTAGCTTTAGAATTTTCATTTCACTCTTAATGAAAGGATTTAGAGTCATAAAGATGTCAAAAACTTATTTTAGACCATAAACTTCAAAGTCTCATTTCATTTCTTTGATTTTGTGCCTAGATAAACACTATCATGTACATAAAACAAAAGGAGTAACTATTTTAGGTCACAAGAGAAAGAGGGGACCATTGGGCTAGATCAATCAGCAACGAATTCCACATACAGATAGAGTCGTAAAGATTCCACAAAAGCTTCAAGATTGAGGTCTCAAATTTACACATATTGCCCTTAGCTCCAGTTTCTTCATTTATTTGGAATCAGTTTTATATAAGATGATTTTGAAAGAAAAAAAAAGACATGACCAGCCAGCTTTGTCACTAAATTTGACACTGAACTTTAAATTACCCAGTTCTTCATATTGTTACTGGAAATACGTGCATGTACAAACTAAAAGCAGCCAATGTAATATTCAACTGCCCATCCACCAACATTTTGTTTTCCTCATTAGTTCTCTCTTGCTACTTGTCACAAAATTTCTGGGAGAGTATCTGAAGAGATATTAAAGCTGAAGAAATAGCAAAGATAAGAAAACTATATCCTTTGTGGAGGAATTTTACAAACAATGCGGTGTCTTATACTTGAATCTTCTTTCTGGTTTTATTACTGCTAGCAGCAAAAGACGCGGATTTCAGTCCTCCAAATCAGTCCTCTAATATATGAAGATCTTTTCTTGAACAGGCTTGGTCAAGTTATTGCCTTCCTGCGTGTGTATCTTTTTAACAAGTAAATGATCAGTTTTTTCGGATACAAGGGGATAAAATGAAATCAGTTGCAATGTGAAGTGAGATTTAAGTGTAAATTACACTCTCATTTTGAGAAACTCACATACTTCTGTCAAATACACAGACATTCCTAAGTCATAGCTTTAATGGCACATAGGAAGCTACCCAAAATGAAACAAAGAAAAAACGGAACATCAAAGAGAACACTAAACTCTGGCAGCTGAGCTTCCAGAAAGATAGATTGAAGTCTGCTTAGGAAGAAAGCAAGAAAAGTACCGGACATAACAAAGCTAGCTAAACATTAACTTTGAGAACTAAGTGAGCTGAAATAGAAATCGGGGCTTTGTGATACTTCAGTATGCTTCTCATTTTGTTATCCATATATCACTACTTCCAATGCACTAGTATGTGAGGAATTTAATAGATACAAGTGGTGATTCAGATATGGGACTTCAGTAAGTATCCAACTGTCAATAGATCTACACATTATGGAATTTTCAGTTAAGAAAAATAAGTGTGTGACATGCAACACTTGCAGCTATGGACACTTTCCAATCTGGTATATACATGGCAGTTACTGTATTATATCACTGGATGAGGAATTACCAACTTTTATTATATATTTAGGTCAACGACATGCCATCTTCTGAAGGCCCAATTCTTTTGACCAACCATGTGAAGTATTTTTGCCAATGGGTGGTGGTAAGACTCGAGCTCAGGACTTACTATGATCTGACACCATATTTGAGTGAACTGCTTCCATTTAAACACCTAAAGTGTTGCGAAGGAATATTATTTGTTCAGGTCCTCAACGATGTCCCAACTTGAAAGTTTAAAAAGTATGCAACATTTGCTGCCCCCAAATAAGCCATTAAATATCCATAAATCCAACTAAGATGCATGCATCTCACCCCAAGTCCATGTGATTACAGGACAGTGGCTATAATTTATAAGGAACAAAAACAGAAAACCATCAAAGACTAAACCTGGCAATAATTGAAGTTTACCTGACAGTCATTAGGAACTCCCCACCCAAGCTGGCAAATTACCAATGCATCTAAACCACTATCTGTTAAATTAATATTATGTGGATACCTAAACATCAGATAACTAACAAGTGGTTCAATTTCTAAGTCACTAGTCTTTGCAGTAGCTTGTGAGAAAGTTCCCTTCACATAAAATGTGAGCATACAAAAGATATTGATTGAATTACCTATGGTGAATGAGGATCGAGCAAGCGTTACTTTGTAAAACTCACACCCCTCAACATCAAACTTTTAAAGTACAATTCTTTTCACTTGCTTTTCATTCACAGTACCACCATAATTGTAGCTTTACAAACTTGGAATCCAGGTATTGGAAACACAATGATGCTAGGATAGCCAATACATCAGAATGGTAATATAACACCTAGTCCTTGACAGTATCTATGAGCAAACAAATCAATTGTACCCCTCCGCTTCTGTTTCCCCTAGGATGCCTAATTTCTAAAATCAGTTAATATTTATTAATCATTAATGACTAATCAGCAACTGACAAGGTTCTGCTGAACCTACAAACAATGTCATTTTACCCATAAAGCAATATTTATCAACCCTCTGAAAATCTTGTTTTTGTTTTCTTCCCAAAGGTAACTCTTGAAAGAAACTCATACTAACGTGCTAGAACCTTATAAAAACGTTCAAGTCATAGACCAATATCTGTTGGCAGACAAAGGTATAGCCAAGTGTACAGAAGGGGTTCAATGGATCCCCTTTAAAAGTTACACTTAGCAAATAGGGTAAAAACAATTTTTTTTCTATACTCCAATCATACATATAAATTTCAACCAAAAAGGCTCAACACATTCACCCACTGTGCAAGTTTGCATTCTTTTCATTCCTCTTTTGAGAATTCCTGGCTCCGACATTGTTAGCAAAGCCAAGGATTACAGCTAGACTCATCCAAATATCCACAATACACACAAAAAAGTCTCTTTTCCCCTAGTAGAAATCTGAGACATGGTACGAAAAAAAACAACTTACCATTATGTTTTACAAGAACGGGTTTTTTCATGTCAGCTCCATCCATTGGCACAATTACTAACATTAATCAAAGCAACAATTTGACTTGAAAGAATCTTCTTTCAAAGTAAACCAAACCCATTTCACCATTTGTCCAACACAATTAAAAAAGGGAAAATTAGGCGGTTAAGCAAACAGATACTACTCAATTACTTATCATAGCTATAATTTGTTATAATTACCAT